GAAATCTCCTCAAGCTGATTTTGCTATTTCTGTACGCAATACCAATTACATTGTAGCGGCGTGGAAAAGCTATTTGTTAGTCTGAGACAATTTCAATCTATCACAAACTAACAGAACTATACACTTTACAAAATTATATACTTTATTAAGATAATGATTAGTAATGTTATAGGTACGATTAATCATCCACAACTTCCACTATATGATGACCTATATAATAATAATTCATTTATTTAGCAACCACACAATATAGAAGTATCAAATTGAGTGAATACATAAACACACATCGTGGCTCTAAAAAGTTATCCATTCAGTATTGTGCCGAGATGTCATTAAGATACCTCGACGCTGATCTTCCATGGACACCAGATGAGGAGAGGAGAAGACACTACTATGCACCATACATAAATATTTACATGAAATAGTCATTCTAAATATTTAAATTAGATACGTAAATAAGTATTATATAAACCATGCATAAAATACAATATTATAGAGAATGCGATTCAAATTATAAATTTGTATATAAATTACACAACACAACACTCAAATCAGCTTCTGTAAATTAAGAAGATGTTCTCTTAATTTAATTTTAAATGTTTTGATGGCACTAAACTGTTTCACTGATATCATCAGAATCACTATCACTCTTAACACCTATATCATTCTTATTACTACTGTCATTGATATCAATTTTATCGATACTTTAATTCTTCAACATTGACAATGCCTTATGATTTTTTTGTTAATACTCACCGGTTGTATGCCTCCGGCATTAAGTCCGTCATTTGCTTTGATTTACCAATAACTAATAAATCAATACATCATCTAACGTTAACAGTTATGCACTACTATAAGTCTTCTCATCTCCTATATATTAACTTCAGTCGCATTCATTAGCACAATTACACTTATTTTATTAAGTTAAAAGAGTAAGAGAGAAGTAAAGGAGTTATAAAAAACACTAGATGCAATTTGATAAAAATGTATAAATTCATTATATATCTTTTTTTGGCAGTACAAATAATATTATCATATATAAAATATACACAATTAAGTATAAAACAATATATTTACATTATATCACATAAAGAATACCTGTATTATATCGAATCTCTTATCTATAATACGCAAAAGACCAGTTCCACAGTTGTTGAAAAACTTAACAAATAACATAACTAAATTGATAGATAATTGTATAGACATTTCAATCTTTATTCCGCAGACAATTTAATATTAAACGATAGTTGTATATGAACTGTACGTCGGTAAAATTTACATACGTAATATTTTAGAGGGCTTGTACATAAAAAAATAAAAGTTAACGTTTAACTGATTTTATACATAAAACTAAGCTACGTAGGCGAAGAAATTTATTTTTCTTAGGGTATGTCACAGTGTAAACCGCTAATTTATAAAAAAAACAATCGATAGAAATCAATCTCACAATTACCCTAACCGTCACTGTTTTCGCCGATTCTTGTAAGTATATCCTTTTTATAGGCAAACTTGATAAATATGTCGGTCGCTTTGTAGCTAACTGTGTAGCATTTTTACAATAATCGTAATAGTACAATTAGATGTTCAAAGCCGTTTTTACTGTACCTATAAAAAAAACAGTATTTTGTCTTTCCTAGGCGTAAATGTAATTAAAAAATAGCAGAAGTAGTTACCTAAAATCTGTGAAAATGGATCTTTTGTTAATTGTTAAAGTTAACATTAAATTTTTTAAAAAATATTAACATATTATCACATCATTAATAAAAACATATTATACTAGTAATATAAAAATATTATAATATAGTTCTTGAAAAATAATTGCTAAAAGTATCTACTATTACAAATACTTTTGTTTGTCATATTATTTAGATCCAAGCGTCTTATAGTATCTAAGTAATAAATATTTTCTGTAAAATATGTAATTAATATTTTGAAAGAAATAATAGTACCTATAGTAGATTTATTTATTGTGCTTTCATACATGCTAGTAGTGAAATTATAAGAAATTAGAAAAAGCAGACTGATAAAAAAATTAAAAAAATATTATTTTGGTATATCGTGTGTATACCAAAATGTATATTTTATGTATTTTCGGCCAGTTGCACAAACGTCCATTAAAATTGTCATTAGATTAAAGCGACATTATCGATACACATTTGACATTCATTAGTACTTAAAGGCATCATAAAACCTTAATAGACGTTTGTGCAACTGAGCGTAAAGTAAAAAAAGGCTATTTTAATATAATTTAAAATATACAAGCAAAGACTCTAATTTTATTTATTTACATAGATTTGATTCGTCAATTTGTTATATACATGCTCGTAATTCAAAACCAAAATTTTAGTTACAACATTCTATTACCATTTCTTCTTAGAATAAGAGTCATAATAATATTATTAAAAAATTTATTTCGCAGTTATATTTTTGGTTCTATGTAAATATATTTTTACAGGAATAAAAATGTGCCCTTCATCTCATAGTGAAATTAATAAACCGAAATATATAAGAAATATTATTTTTATATTCTATTAAATAATTCCTTTCTTAAATAATATGTTTGTGATTTGGATTGTAAGTATAATATGCGATGTTATTGTGTAATATTAAACTAATATTTGTTTGCTTTAAAATATGTATAGGGCACTTATGGATTCTGTTACATCTATTTAAAAATGAAAAGCGTTAATTGTAATTTAAAACTAGTCAAACGTAACAACTTAAATTTACCTATGAACGTCGAAGACTAAAGACACACAGTGTTATTAATAAACAAGGTTTAACGTTAGAGTAAATTAACCCTGAGACTGTACTGTAGTCAAAATTCATATTATTAAACAGATATTTAGCAAAGATGAACCTAGTATGAGGTTCTACGTGAGTTATATTTACTCCTAGTAGTAAGTAGGTTAGCTTATTCTCTGTATAATATGAATTAAGACCAATACTATAAGAATTTGGACCAATACTAAAATTGCAATTTTAGCGTGAATTTACTCCAACGCTAAACCTTGTTTATAAATAATACTGTAAATGTATTCTAGGCTTAAACCATTGACTGCCTAAAACAAATTGACAAGATAAAACGGTGAATTAAGACGTGTTGTCTTATTTTGGTCGAATAATGGTTTAAGCCTGGAGACTAATTTAATTTTAAAATCTATTATTATCCCTTTCGAAGATATAGCGATTCATGGAATTGTGTTATATTAAATGTCGTAATCTCTTTTGGAACGGGCTATGAGTTGAATGATCAAAAAAAAAAATATAAAAATTTTGTTAAATCCGTCGAAAGGTCCCAGTTAACTTCCATCTCTTTCGTTTGATATTTATCAATATTTTCAATAGTTTTTAACTTTGCTAAGATTTCTAATTACGGTATATTAACAATATCGTACATTGAATAGCCGTAAAAAAGTCACAATAGAAAATTAGGTCTCTGGTGTCTAGATATAACATCGATGGCAATCTCTTTACGCTACAACAAATTGACATGTAATAAGGATTGCGATCATGCCTTTTTTTGATAGATTTGAACTAACAATATCGTTAATTAACGTTATTTAGAATTGTCTAAGGCAAGCGTTTGACGCAAATATTACATTAACGGTCCGTTGCACAAACGTCCATTAAGGTTTAATGACGCCTTTAAGCTCTAATGAATGTCAAATTTGTATGGGTTATGTCGCTTTAAACTAATGAAAATTTTGATAGTCGTTTGTGCAACTGGCTGTAAGTTACTAAGTTTTTATTATGTTTATTGATCACTCAAATCATCATAAAGATTGCGGCTTTCAATGTTACGTAATTCCAACAGTCGCTACAACTTTGATAGGAATTGCGATAGATTAATAAATATTTTTAAAACTAGATTACTAAAGCCCGTCTTCGTTTTGTTATAAGACTAAAAATAGTACTGTGCAGTAACGTAAATAAAAAATGCTTAATTTGTCAATTTTAAATCTGTAAAAAAACTACTGATTTTACTAACGAAATATTGGGATATTGATATTTAAAAATAAAGTTTTTATACGCACCTATAAGATAAGATAAGATAAGATAAGATAAAAACACTTTATTGTACAACACACAACAGAAAATAAATAAAGAGAAACTTACAAACATTAAAACATTTGCACAATAGGCGGCCTTATTGCACCTATTGTCAGGTAATGTACCAAATATTTTGAAATTTTTACCTCTTTTAATTTTAAACATAGATAGTATCATAATTCTTAGACATCAGTATATAGTTTAAAACTAAGTCGCTTTCCGTCGTCTATCCCTATGATTTTGATGAGGTTTTCTTTAACAGATACGGTGATTGTAAAGGAAGATTTTTTATGTATAATACAAAACCATGCGGGCGAAGTAATGTATAAATGTAATTTACAAAAAATGTACTTAATAGAATCTTAATGGAAAATTAAATTAGATGTATATTTCACTGCTGTAAAAAAATAAGGAATTTTCATGTAACGTTGTAATTTTACTGATTCAATTTCTTGTCCATACTTTTAAGATGTCGATTGTAGATACAAAGAAATACGGAAATTATGTTTTACCCATCTATCTCTTCGTATAATAATTCAACTAATTATACTTTATTCTTGGGCCCAATATTTTTTTTTATTAGAGAATTATTTTATGTCCATAATAATTCTCATTTAAAAATAAATTTATATTTAATTATGTTACAAATAACATACCTACAAAATTTTCGATTGGGTTGATATTTAATCAAGCAACTATTTCACTATATTAACGATATATATATTTGAAAGCTTTATACAACGACAGTTACAGGTTAACTTAATGTTAGTTAGTTGCCTACAACACAATAATAATAATTATTTTTAACTATCCCTTCCGATACATCCATTGAAAATGAGAAACATGCACAGTACACACTATATGTTGACACATATTTTCAAATTAAATTTGTTTTGGCACTGAAAAACCTCTTGGATATTATCGAATGCACCATATAATAATTTTCATCATATCTTACAACTAGTGTATCCCGGTCCTATGCACGCGGCGTATGCTATGGCATGGGGTATGTAATTCTGTTCATAGTTCCCAGAAAATATATGAGCCCACGGCCCATTGGCAAACACAGCGACATCTTCTCCGCCATGGGTCTCTCGCACCATTGGCACCAATGAAGGATAAGAATAATTCGCGTTATCTGTAAATAAAAAAGTCTATTAAAGTATATCATCAACGGGGAATTCAATGGCGCATAGATAAGCGAGTGTGGTTTGTTATGAGGAAGTTAAGAAACTTTTCTTAAGGTTGTTTTTGGGATGGGTGACCAAAAATTTATTATTTGGAGTTCCTTAGTGATTTAGAAGGCACGTTAAGCCGTTCCTGGCTGCGCCTGCAGTCGTTTACACCGACCAGATACGCACTTGGTCCGCCGGGGGTCATGGCCCCCTCTCCTATTAGATTCGATTCCATTCATAGGGGAGGCCTGAGCCCCAGCAGAGGGAACATTAATGGGCTAGTGGTGATGATGACACCTTTAAACTTTACATCAAATTATGCATTTTGGTGTGCAATTAGTAATTTAGCAAATAAAAGTGGATCTTAATGAACAATCTTTCAGATGCTCCTTAACCATCCATAAGGAAGGCCTCAGCCCCTGCAGTGGGTACGAAATAAAGGGCTGATGATGATGATGATGATGAATCTTTCAGATGGAAATCTATCATTTCCAAGAATCCTACTAATAGTATAAATGCGAATGTTTTTGAGGATGTAATGTATGTATGGATGTATGTTTGTTTACCTTTTCACGCAAAAACTTCTGTATGTATTTAGATGAAATTTGGTGTGCGGATAATTATAAGCCTGAACTAACATGTACACTGCTTTTTATCTCACTAAAACGACCATGTTGGCGTAAGTGGAAAGCTAGTTAAATATACACGCCCTTTACTAAGACTCGTATCTTTAGACGGGAGAAATAATTACTTGAAAATATGTAACAACTTAAGCAGATATCTTATTTTTTTTACCAAATAAACGAGATTATGAATAAAGTAAGATCTGTAATAGTTAGAACACTATTAATAATTCTGGTTTATTGGTTAAAAATATTTGCTTTATTAATTACCTTTACTCGACTATAGATATGAGTGTAAGTTAATTGACACGTAAATGATCTCAATGACTGACCTGAAATATTAATACTTTTTTTTTTAATACACGCGATGAAACTGTTTAGAAGAAGTTTTATTTAATGAATAAACTATAATATTCCATATTCTTTACACAAAAGTTTGTGAATATAAACATAAACGAGAAGCGGAGTTAAGCTCAACTACGACGGTTCCAATTAAACTCTCTTAATTATATCGTCCAGTGAGCTGCGATAACAGCTTGAGGTGAAAGGTACACTCAGCACAACATAGAGTTTTATCCAACCTAAAATATAACCGATCAATTTTGAATTTGATTGAACGCCTGTTAAGGGTTACAATTAATTCAAGAAAATTAACATTTGAATAACCAAATGCGCGGCTTCTCGTAATTGTACTGATAATATACCTATTTTATATAATTATGAAATAAGACATAATACTGTAACTATAAAGATCCGTATTGAAGAATGTAATAAAGAAATCCACATGGAATTACTTTTATTTTTATTCGCAGATGATTTGCTCGGGAATCATTATACCGATTACGCTGATGATATATACCTACGTTGGCGATCCAAAGGCTAACTTGTAACGTAAATAAATAAATTTTAACCACAGATATTACAGAGGACTTCGGAGGATATGAAGGTGTAAAATATAATATAAAAAATGCAAACTATTTCTTAAACTGAATTCGCAATGCTATAGTGAAAAATATTCTTAATGAAAAAAACTTAAATAATCCACTTTGTCCCTGGCACATTGAGATGGGATGTGGATTGCCTGAACATTGATGAAAATGCGCTCTGTATTAGCGAAAAAGTAACAAGTGCTTGAAAGATTCGTCAGTCCTATTAGGTCATGGGTAGCTCAGTTAGAGCCATCTCAGAATGCCAGGGACAAATTGGGTTTTTTTTAGCATTTTTCATTCTTTTAACGTTCATGTTCATGAACATTGATCATGGCACTTTTAACAGTATCGAAATATCGGGAACTCGAGAAACATAAGATACATGGTAGTGATCCTTAATATTATCTTGGACATGTTATAACAAGAGATGATTTGCGTGTATTGCTAAGGTTTTTGAGTATGAAAAAATATAAAATGCAAGGAGAACAAGACCGGAATGAATGTGGATAGATTGTGTGAAAGTTGATAGAGGAACTGCAGCATATTTGGGTTACTGCAGGTAACTTGGAATACTTCAGTATCAAAATAAATATTAACAGAATCTTTGTTTTTTTGCCGTAAACATAACGTCGTAAGACACACTACGACATATAGCATTAAAAATCCTGTTTTTAGAATTGAATAGAATTGAAAATGTGATATGCCGTTTTAGCTTAGGATGGTATGTTGTTAATTTGGGATACTACACGTGAACTGTTACAAAGATTAGAAATTTATTAGTTTTTAAGATAAAGTGTTAGCAGTATGTTAATAAAACATATAATTGTTAAAATATATATAGATAATAGTATATATAAGTATATAATATAAAGTAAATATATGATGGAATACTATATTCCTAATTACCTGCCCTCTAAGTCCATTCACATAATTTCTAATTTTTAGTTATTTTTGTTATTTTATAAGTTTCCTGAATTTTATTCTTTATGATAGTTATAAATATTAAAGTTTAATAGTTTTCCAAATAATAAACGTATTTTTTATTAAGTTATTCCTTTTTCTTTAAATTTATTCTCAAAAAACAAACTGGTATTCCAAATACGCTGCAGTTCTTCTATATGTAAGAAAGGAACGAATGTTGAGGTGAAGAAAGTATGAAGAAGAATAGGTACTTTGTAAGTTTTTGTATTTGTAATGTTACAAATACAAAAACTCACAAACTTATCATCATTTGCTGTACAAAACAAAACTGTACCTGTTGCAATAAAATGGCAATTACAAAACTGTACACATGTACAGGTACAGTTTTGTTTATACTTCCTATTATAATAATTGTGAAAGCTTCTTTGTTTGGATGTTTGTCCGTCAATCACGCTGAAACTACTGAACCGATTTCGATGAAATTTGGTATACGGATAGGGTATTAGCTAACTTAGGTAAGACTTTTTATTCCACTAAACTTCCCTAGGGACCACGCGGGCAAAGCCGCTGGAGAAAGCTATACTAATACAATATTATAAAGAGGAAAACTTTGTTTGTATGTTTGTTTGATTGTAATGATTAGGCTCAAAAACTACTGGACCGATTTTAAAAATTCTTTCACTATTCGAAAGCTACGTTATCCAAGAGTAACATAGGCTATATTTTATTTTGGAAAAAATAGGGTTCCGTAAGACATTTGGGTTTTTCGGACACAAGGCGTAAAAATTCAACCAGAAAAGTTACTTATTTTGTGTACGCTGCCTTAACTATAAAAGATAGAACCATCAAGTGTTCTAATTAATCGTAGATCTTATAAATATCTACAAAAAAGTCCGCAACACACTATACCTATCATGTCGAGTGAAGTACAACAACCATTTTTTTAATTAAAAATCTTGAATTTTTTGTGGACTACATTTAAACGCGTTTATGTTACACATGCTATTAATCTTTATCAAAATAAATCATTTCATCACTAAGTAAAGTTTATTTAGATAATATTTGGTTTTTTAATGATTAAAAAACGTTTGGTTTTGAAGTTATGGCGAAATTAAAATATTACGATTTCTGCTGCACGGCCCGTTGTATAAAACAAAGTCGCTTACTCTGTCCCTAAATGTATGCTTAAATCTTTAAAACTACGCAGCGGATTTTGATGTTGTTTTGGTTCATAGATTAGGTGATTCAAAAGGAAGGTTTTTATGTTTAATACAAGACCGCACGGGCGAAGCCGCTGGCGGAAAGCTAGTATATTATAAAGAGGAACGATTTGATTGTTTGGAACGAATAGGCCCCTAAACTATTGGACCGATTTTAAAAAATCTTTCATCTGCGGGAAGTTTCATCATACACGGTGAAAAATGGGCTATATTTTATCCCGAAAAACAGCAAATAAAGGGATGAAAATAGTAGTGGAAGTTTATATAGGGAATTAAAACGTTACCATAATAACCATTGTTTACATTGTAACTATATACGTGTCATGATATGAATCGATATCCAAATGAACAGTTCACTAGGGACAACGTGGGCGAAGCCGCTGGCGGTAAGCCAGAACTTTATACAGTTGTGAATTGCATTTGAACTTGACTGAGACGTCGTCCTGTCTGTGTTTTATGCTATATTACGCAAATATATGCAATGAAAACAAATACGATTATTGTAAGTAATTACCACAATATTATTTAACACAAAGTATTAAAATAATGAAGGTATTTAGGTAAGTTAATTCAAGTAATATTCTAGATTTAGCACGTTAATGAAGTTTCTTCTATTATTAGTTAATATTAACCAATTAAATTCAGAATAAACTGATTGCTATATTATATGGATATTTGCCTTGATTTCAATATGCAATGTCGCGACCTAGTTTAGATGCTTACAATATTTAGTAATTATACATTATTAGGCTGATGGTATGATGATGTATAATAAGTAATACAATGAAAGAATCTGGAAACCTACTCTAATTCACCGAAAAACGAAATATCGTTCGAAATTTCGGACGTTTCCTACCACAATTACGTTCGTTCCGAATATTCAACGAACGAAAATGTTTGACATATTTATTTTCTAAACCTACTCTATTTCACGAAATGGCAAAACGAACATTTGAGTTTGACATCTAATTGTTCGGAATTCTTACCACAAATTGAGGAAGTAAAAAATGTTACCTTTTCATTTTCGTTAGCAATTTTTTATTTTCGAAATGGGGTCCATATTACTATTAATCGAGTCAGCTCTCAGTGAAGAACGATTAGACCGTAGAAGAAATCGGCAGCGGCTTCGAAATAGCCTTAATATAAGAAATATTCTCGATACTGAGTTTGTAAGTATTTACAGACTCAGTTGTGAATTATTTCAAGAACTATGCCAAGAGATTATACCTTTACTGCGTCCACAGGCAAGATCTCATGCCATCGAGTCCACAATTAAACTTGGAAGATATTTTATCGTAGTTCTTGATAAAAAAAATTGCATGCCTACCATTATGCATTTCATATTTTTATGATTCTTACAGCGTTGAATTTTTATGCCCGAGGTAGTTACCAAGGATTCGTATCTCAAAACATGGATGGGCCTATGGTCCAACAAACAGTTTCACGGTGTTAGGAGGCGAACCTCCTAGTGTAACCTCCTAGTACAGTCCTAAGACTGTCCTCAATTCACCAGATAGGTATTATAAGAAAATATATTATTCCCTCAAAACCAAAATAAAAGGAATCTTATTAAGAGACAGTGAATACCTTTGGCTTTATGTATGAATTGTGAATAATTACCTATAGAATTATGTCATTAATATTACAGATTTTACGAGGCATATAGGCTATGCCATTATACCTGAAAAATATGACTGATAAAAAGTAAATTTATTACTAAAAACCTTTTTTTTGTGCCGAAAAACTAAATATTACTTTCATACTTACTTATAAAGTTTTTTACTGAATTGTCAAGATAAATTTCGGAACTCACAATAATTAAATAAAATATTAGTAAACACTGAACAGTTTGGTGAAAACTTTTAAAACTTTTGGCGGGATGAGAATCGTTTGTATTATACGGATATTTAAGATTGCCGTACGTTGATTATAGCCATCATATAAATGAAAGGTTGTTTTTAAATATGTCGGTTAATACTGTGGATAAAAGAGTTCTTTATAGTGTCTTGATAAGTTGTAACGAAAAATAAAGTTCATTAATATAATAAGTTTTTCGTTATATTATTATAATATTTTATGTTTAAACATTGTTTAGCCACTAAAATTTTATTTAAAAGAAATATATGTTTTGTTTAACATTATATATTTCAAGTTACGGTAAAAACCGGAATTTGACATTATAAGAAATCCAATAACGCCATTCACTCCAATCGATCACGAAAATTGTCTTTGCAACGAACATTCGTTGGTGTATACGAAAATGATAAAGAGTAGCGTTTCATGCGAAATTTCGTTTTAATTTCGTTCGTAAACGAAATTTCGTTTTCGAGAAAGCGAGTAGGCCTCCTGGACTATTTTGATTTATCATAATTTCTATTGCATATATTCGTGTGCACTCAAATGAATTTAAAACTATTTAGTAACTTTTTAATAGAAACTCTATACCTTGACCTTAGACGAAGAAGAATCCGCAAGAAAATCATCAAGGCTGATTTTATTTACCTATTTATTTTATACAGAGATGTGGGATTTATTAATGTATTTAATATTGTAAATAAGCTATTCATAAAGTAAAATTGATGATGATGATGATAATTATTTAAGGCCCTCTAGTACCCTCACTAACGTTCCCTTACGAATACGCAAACAAATACGCATCGAGAGCAAAGGTGCGCTCGAAACTAATGAACGGATTTTGATGAAATTTGGTATACATATAGAGTATTAGCTGACTTAGATAATAGGATACTTTTTACCCCACTTAACATTTCCCTAGGGTCCACACGGGCGAAGCCGCTGGCGAAAGCTAGTAATTAATAATTTTGCCGAATGAAAGTAGTAATTTGTTCATATTTATTGCACTGCTACACTTAATTAAATTTTGATCTGGTTATCTGGTTTACCTACTATTTTATTAATTACTCTGAAAATCATTACGCTACTTAGTAATAAGATATGTTTATCGATCTTAATAAAATAATAATATTAAGAATTTCAGATGAAAAAAGTAAACGAAAAGCAAGTTTTATTGTAGATAGCATTGAATAAAATATATTTAAAAGTATATAAAATAGTCGGCTCCTATGTTGCACTTTTATGCAACATTGTTGCATTTTACATTGTTGGAGCTGTCTTTTAAATTTCCGGACAAACCAGTATTAACCAGCTTTATTTTTATATTTTAATTATTGTTCCTGTTATTAAATTTAACTATACGGAACATATTTGAAATAGGATAAACCATTATACCATAAAAGCCCGAGGGGAACAAGAGCACGATCGTGATTAAAATTCTAATTTACTCAGAATGTAAAATAATCTCAACGACGAAATGTAAATTTCGCTTGAAATGGATTTCTAGTTCATGTTATACATGAAGGTAATGAATGAATTCAGTTGTAAATTTTGTAGCTTATAAAATAAGGTGTAATATCTATGTAAGTTGTGACTTAGTAATGTGAACCGAGAGTGGACAATATTTCAAAACTTATACATAATTATTGTGTTGAAACATAGCCAAAAAAACTTTTTCCAACTTTGAATGCAAATTAAAAGTGAATTAATAAAAAAAAAATTGCAATAACGCAGCAATTTAGTCTGTGACACAAATGTTCAAACTGACTTTGAAAACAATTAAAATCGATCTGAATTTGGTATATTTGAAATCATATTTTTATTGTCTTACATATGTATTATTTTTAATAATATTGTTTTACGTTTACAGATACATCTGGAAATAAAAATCGATCTTTTAACACCAGATTTCACCGAAATTCAAACCTGACATGATCATGGAACCATTTTTTTTTTATAAAGTACCCATATGTTTTTTGTTATTGGTAACATTTTAATTTTCGTTCTGTGCTGTCATTTTGAACAATGACGTCATTGGTTTTCTAGTGCCGTTTGCGTTCACGTGGCTCACCATTAAAAAAAAATAGGAAAATTATTTTAAATTTAAAATATTTACATATTCATTAATTTTCATGTTTAAGATTCATCACATTTATTTTTTTTCCTCTACAGTCAACTCGTGAATAACTATATTAAATCTTATAGAGAGTTAAAAGTTTTTATTTTGTTGGTTTGCTTGTAGGAGATAATATTCGGAAATTCTGATCCGATTCTCCTGCCCATTAGAAAAGAAAAAATTACTCACTTAAATCATCTAAAAGTATGTTTTGTCTGTCTTGTTGGTAGCCAGGCCCGTTTGCGTAGCTCAGTATAGTATACGGTAAGCTGTCCGTTGCATTTGACTGAAAAGGGAATAAAAACAATGAGTCTGAATGTTCAAATACTCACAAAGGATTAATGATGAATTTTGAAAGAGAAAGCAAGATTTCTACTTAATAAATTTTCAATTTTGTAGTTTAATTCAATTTAATACTATTAAAAAATGTAAGTATCGGCTGGGAGGTCGCCGACGCCGTTTGCAGATATATCGCACGCATCATCAGCGATGAGTCCTATCGATCAGAGAGCGCGCGCACGATACTGTTTCGGCTGATGCGCACGCGCTTTTGCAGCAACCCGTTTCGCTTACATAATTTTACTTAATTTGCATTTGACATAATTTAAATAAAGGAAGAAGATTTTTAATCCTGGCATTTAAATAGTTAAAAACAAGGGAATATTGTTATACTGACCTTATTAGTAAATCCTAAGACATCTGTACCACGTTTGCTGTAACCGCTGTATGTCATGGTGTGACTGTGGTCTGAAGTTACAACTATCAGTGTTTCCTCCGAATTGACTGCATGTAAAGCCGCTTCTACAGCCTTAGCGAATTCAGCTGTTTCGTCTAATGCTTTCCGAGCTTTGGCCTCGTGATGCGCTGTGTCTATTCTACCTCCTAAATAAATAATTTTTAGTTATTTAAGTACTTGTTGCTTGCTTTCTTTCGTTATTTATTGCTTGGAAATATAGATTATTTACAGCTGTAATTATTTACAGTTAAAGTTTTTATTCTAAAGTAATTAAATATTTAAATGTTGTTCATTTATTGACACGAGTGATTCACTTAATCTAATAAAATCATATCTCTCTGCTAGAATTCAAAAAGTAGTAATTAATGAAGCGAAATCTGCAGTGGCACCAGTTACTATGGGCGTACCACAGGGATCGGTATTAGGACCATTGCTTTTTCTAATTTATATTAATGATCTTCTTCACTTTACGAAGAATTTGTGCGAGACAGTATTATTTGCAGATGACACCTCTTTACTGCTTAAAGTTGAGAGGGGTGATGACTGTTTTGACGATGTAAATAGAAAATACAGGCATGTCAGTACACTTATAAATGTAAATAGTGAAAAAGTTGAGTTAGTAGAATCGACAAAGTTCCTTGGTATTACACTAGATTCCCGACTGCAATGGGATCCTCATATTGATAGCTTGTCAAGTAGACTGAGTTCTGCAGCTTTTGTTGTTAAGAAAATTAGACTCATGTCAAATGTTGAAACGGCAAGATTAGATATTTTAGTTATTTTCATAGTGTAATGACGTATGGTATATAGTTGTGGGTTCTGTGGCTAGCATTCAGGATATTTTTATTCTACAAAAAAGAGCTGTCCGTGCTATATATAATTTACGGTCTAGGAAATCTCTCAGAGAAATATTTAAAGAAATAAATATTCTGACTATTGCCTCTCAATACATCTATGAGAATATTATGTACACAAGAAAATATTGTGATTCCTTCACAAAAAAAGTAGTGTTCATAATCTTAACACAAGAAATAAAAATAAACTTGCCGTTCCAAGCTTCAGACTTCAAAAAACCAGAGGATCTATTTACAATACATTTACCTAGAAATGACCTACCCATAAATAAATTTCAAATTCATGTAAAGAATATACTTATAAGTAAAGGCATTGTGAATAAAGTTGATGATTATTTTAAGGACCGCAATGCATGGAATTAATAGCCTTCGCTCTGTTCTATAACAATTAATTATAGGTATGTACCAACCTATGTCCTACAGACTTTGAAACTTGTATATATTATTGTTCAATATATGTATTATTTTGGTAATGACATGATTTATGTAAATGTCATTACTTATGATAAAAAGCGGGTAAGTTTCTTTCGCTTGTTCTTCTTGTCAGCTAAAAGACGTCCTGAACAAGTGGTAGGGGAAACATTTTTTTGGACGATTCTAAAGTACTTGTAACAAGCTTACTTGAATAAAAACATTTTCATTTCATTTCAGTGAAACTATATTCGGCTGCACGTCCGATTACCAAAACATGTCGATTTTGAAGGCTACCTTCAATTTATTAAGGTTTAAAATTAAATGGACATGTTTGTATAACCTGACCTACTGCTGACTATTCCATAGTCTTCTAAGTCTTAAACATGCTCTACATTAGTCATATACAGCGACATCTTACCTTCAACAAGTAAAAAGAAACCATTTTTGCCTCTCGATAAGATCTCTATTGCTTTCTCTGTCATTTCGCTCAAAGTTGGATCGTCCTCTCCCGCTTCAAGATGGTAAGGCATATGGTCCGGTGAGAACAGACCTAACACGTCTGAGTAAATAGGTTCTAATGTGAGCAGTTCCAGTCTGTTTTGTATGTATTTAGCTGGTACACCATAGGATGCCTTCTTATTCAGCCACTCTTGTATGAGATTGTTTCCATCACTCCTGTGCCCTCGGAAACCTTCGCTGTCCCTTTCTGTTTTTGGCAAGAGATTTCTCCTGCCACCTCCGAAGACAACCTTTTGAATGAAGCAAAATGTTTGTTTTTTCTTTTAGGGTGCAAAGTAGTTATATCTTTTAGGGAAACAATAAATTTTGTATAAAATGTAAGAATAGATAAATGTAATTTCAATACATAATACAAAATGAATTCGTATAGAGACAGAACATTTTTATCCGATTTGATAAAAATTGGTGAAAAAACATAAAAAAAATCTATAGTCGATGGAACCACCTCCTTTATGAAGTCACTTGTATGCTGGTATTATTTTGAATTGCTCTTTACTAGTTCCCATTTATCATGCCACTTATGATTTTATCCTACTTCTTGTTCTTCCTTTCATTAATCCATACATTTAGATAATAATAATATTCTTTATTACCATAATAATATACTTTATTACCCTAAGATAGACTCATACATAGATAAGACATATCTATTATGTGTCTATGTAAATCGTCTTCCTTTTTACTTTTAACTTTTACTGATTCTTTGGAGTAATTAATGCAAGTAACCATATTTAGTTAATTCTTTATTCTATTTTTACCTCTCTTATTTATTATTTTTTTTATATTGAAACCACCAAGGTTTTTCACAATTTCGCCTGCTGAAATTATAGCATATATCAGAGCATATTCAATGCAAATAAACAATCAAAACTTACCTCTTTATTATTATTAGTATAGAAATACATTATTGGAGTTACCAAAACCAAATTAAATATTTTGCTTTCATAGAGCTTTTGTTCTAATTATAAAAGACTCAGATAAATGTCACGCCTGCAATAAAATTGAAGATGTACAACATTTGCTGATGGAGTGTATTAGAAACAAAAATGAGAGGGAGTCATTTATGAAAGAATTTAAATTAAATGTTTTAGATATAGGATTAATTCAAAGTATTTTATCAGAACCTAAGTCTATCATTGCACAAAAACTATGTAAATTACTCGTAAATTTAAGATAAGCTGTAGTAAATGCTGTAAAAATTACCTAATGAAATATTGTTATCAAATGAATCTAGATTTAAGTATGGTATGATGGGGTTGGCATGTTCTAAAGAATAAAAACCCCTTAAAAATTAAAAGAATTAAAAAAAATTATATGAGTTTAAAATAAATTATATTATTAAAGAAACGACTTCAAAACGCGTCTTGAAAATCAGCTATACTATATGTTTTTTTTTTAATTTCGACCGTCAATGTAACAGTTAAAATAAATAGATCTCGGATGCTTATAATAATACCTTTTAAATTGTATACCGATTTTAGCCGTTTTGTTGATTGCAAGAAAAAGTTTTGATTACTTTCAGGTCAGCAAAGAAATTGGGAAAGTAATTTAGAATATTCCTGTCTTACGTATTCCTGTCATAGGTAGGGCTAAATAATAATTATATTTCTATACTGAAAGTTTGAATAATGCTCAATTTTCCCCTATTTCTAATCCAAATATTAGCTTCAAAGTTTTATGTATTATGTTAGCTTCAAAGTTGTTTCCAAACTCATATGACTACATACCCAAATCAAACAAACAAGTCAATAGCGTAATCCTAAAAAAATATGCACAGTGAAAATGTTTAAATCAAAATGGATATTAAAACAACCTCTTAAATAGATGCGGCACGATTAGACGGAAGCATATGTTTCATCTGAAATTTATTAAAATACTTTTTTTGTCTCTGAATTAGGGCCAACAAATTATACTATTAAGTCCTTTTTTCCTAGGACTTATATGATGTCTACTCACGATTTCGCACGCGTGTTTATCTTTATTTTTAAATCCCTATCCAATCTCCTTAATTAATCCAGATATATTTTTTTCAAAAATTTATATCTGAGTTAACATATACATTATATTTTAAATTAGTGTGCCAAATATCAGTTTGATCTACAATACTCTCAACGATAATTTAAACACAAGTTTTTAATCACTATTCTGGAAAAATACCAGTTATGGACTCGATATTGAGCTTTCTCCAAAAGTTAATTAAGGTTTAATTAAATGAATTTCTATGCTGTGACTTGGAAGCTGATTTTTTTGGAATATATATTATGCTGCTCAATAGTTTCGGCTGTGCAATGGTAGTTCAATCAATTACAAAATTAATTTAATTGTTTGTTTGCAGGCTTCGAAATAGCTGTATTGTCTTAAAACATTTACCGGAAGCGTTGTATTAAACATTTATAAAAAATTAATATTAATAGTTCAAACTCACATTAATTTTGCTTCCCACTTTTCCTCTGACCAATTGGGTCGCTATATCTTCACACCTGGGGCCGTATTTCGGTAGATTAGTGTCAGACTCCCATTTTCTATCAGCAGAGTGCGCGTATGCAGACGCAGGTGTCGCGTGGGTCACTCTAGTGGTAGTCACCACACCTGGAATAATGAATAAGGTTTATACTCGTTCTAATTCAGTTCATAATAACATTTTTTTTGGCTTGATATTATATTCCAATAAATCTGTCAGAAGTTGAAAATACTCCCGATAGCCATCATTATTTTTCCGGTCTGCTAAATAACCTCTTCACAATTCATTCGAAGGACCCAAGGTACGTAATTGGAAACACATGGCTCATTGAGGACATATATGCGTGGCCCTACAAATATGTGGGATGGTATGTATATCCAAATGTAAAAGAAAGGTCAGCTAGATTAACAAGTGTGCGAAAGAGAGGGATAAATGATGAGTGAGAAAAAAGATGGTATGCATAAGAGCTTGAGTATTATATAATATATAATTGGCGTTAATGTTATTTTATTTGTCTTGCGACCCCACATATAATAATAACAGGAGCAAAGGATAATTATTATTTCTACTGCAAAAAGAGTTTAATGATATTGTATGAGTAAAAGTTATACTCTGTTTAGCTTTAATATTATCGACACAACGCTTAGAGTTAACGTAAACTTTTAATAAGTTTTCATGATTATGAGGCCATAATTCAAACGATTGACTTATTTTTAAAATAAATGGCTTTATATTAATACATAGCAGCTATTGGCAGCCACAAATAACTTTGTAAGCAGCTTTAAATTCCTCATTTGATGTGATATTAATATTTTCGACAGAAATGCTTGCTCTTCTTTAACAAAATTTGTTGGAAGTTGCCACATTTAGCAACATTGTACTAGTTATGATATTCTGGTGGTTTTGGAAACACATAACAATAACGCAACAAGTTAATTTCACATTGAAACGGTAAAGATTTTACGTTACTTAAAGTTACTGCAACAGAATAATACCTTTACCACATAATACCTTTTTAATAGACTTGAAAACTAGATTAAATGGAGTTGGCTCTTGGCCTTTGCGTTGGCGTTGGTTCATTAAATTTGTCATTAGTTTAAAGCAACATTACTCATACAAATTATACATTCATTAGAGCTTAAGGGCGTCATTAAACCTTAATGTACGTTTGTGCAACTGACCGTAAATCTAACGCAAGGATACCACGATAAGACGAGCTCGCCTAGAAGTAACCTATTTACTTTTGCCTTATATAAATCTGGATTATAGAAAGCAGGGTTAGGGAATTCCACTCCTTGGCAGTGCACGATTAGAAAGATGAAAAATAGCACTTTGGCGGTATATTGGAATATTCACCAAATGAGGATTTAAGAAGGAGGAGAAAGTGGGACTAGATTGCCGATGATAAAGCGATGAAGGCAGGATTAGCTCAGCAGCTTTTAGTGGGTGTACCGTTTTTGAATGATCCTGTTATATTCGGCAAACACCAGTTTGGTATGGTCCCATTTAAAGTGGGATCAGATCAGTTGTTTTATTTTTATCCTATTAATATTATAAATGTGAAAGTTTCTTTATTTGTATGTTTGTCCGTCAATCACGCTGAAACTACTGAACGGATTTTAATGAAATTTGGTATATAGATAGGGTATTAGGTGACTTAGATAATAGGATTTTTATCCCACTAAAGATTTCCCTGGGGATCACGCTGGCGAAGCCGTTGGCAAAAACTTGTGTTATATATGTAAAAAAAGACGTAAATATGTCATATAGCACATTGAAGTGTTGTTGTAATAAAAATCAAATAAGTAAATGCCCGTTAAACAAAATTCGTCACCGCTGGATGGCCTGTTCCAAGTGAAAGAGGTACCCCTTTCACCTGTTTCTTATTTGGTTCAGATAAGATTTTAAACAAGGGGTTGTAGTCCCGACAGAGTTTGTGATCGCAATCTTACCGAATTTGGACACTAACTCATAGCGATCATTAATATTGTAAGTCTCTGCCACAGAACACAGTGCAGTGGTTATTCGTATGGCACATACCGAGTGCAAATTTCAAATTAGCGATGACTGATGAATTGGCGACCGAATTCGGTAAGATTTAAACCACCAAACTCTTTACTATAATATTTTGGTGGTTTGAATTCTGTTTTGCTATATTGGCACTTATTTAAATTCTGTTAGGTACCAGTTCTTTTGCCAGCTTTTTGAGCCCAATCCGCCAGGCCGGTAACGGAATGGGTGCCTCGCTTCTGACTCTCGCAGTCGCCTTTCTTGACCGCTGCACTTAGACCCACTGTTCCACTGTTAGCTTTCACGCCACTAAGATATGCAGTACCACTGCATGCTGAGTCGGCCACGTTCTGATCCACGCAATAAGGCTGAAAAAGATTTTTTAACTTGATGATAATAACGACATCCGTAGCCAAGTGTTTGGCATGACGGTTTCATTGTGCAACCATCTCTAAAGTCCCTGGGTATGGGTTCGATTCCCCGTCGAGTCAACATAGAAAAAGGATTTTTCTATATTGTCTCGGGTTTGGATGTTGTGGTGCCTTCGTTGTCTCAGATACTCTATAATACAGGAATCTGAGCAATGTATGTGATTTTGTTTAATATTCATTTATTATGTATGATCGTCTTATCGTCTATCACCGGGAAGTGAAGTGCATATTCTGTAATAAATCTAGAAACTAAATATTTTTAATTTAGAATAAAACCAACTTCTATTTCTATTGAAATCACGGTTAAATTTTATGTAGGTAATTAATATTACCCACCCAACTCCAAGATTAATAATCTTTATAAAAATATTTTATTGCTATTATTAATCTTTAAGAAGTCTGAAATCTGTGAGCAGATGAAAAAGATTCAACGAATATCAACGAAACTATGTCGTTCGGTCCTCTCAGCTTACTCCGCAAGATAACCATTTTTATTAATTTTAAAGCATATTTCTAATTGTCTGCAAGATATAAAGTTGAATTTCCAAAGTGATAACTTGAATATAAGAGTTGATAAACATTTTATATTTTAAGAATTTTATTAATGTCAAATAAATATAACGTGAGTAGATCGGGGGAATAGTGGAGAACTACGGCCCGTGATCGTTATTAAACCTTAATGGATCTTTGTACATCATCATCATCAACAGCCCTTTTAAGTCCCCACTGCAGGGGCTCAGGCCTTCCTTATAAGGTTAAGGAGGACGGGGCATTACCCTCCACGCTGGCCCAATGCGGATTGGAGGGTATTAACGACTGCAAATGCAGCCGGGACCAACGGCTTAACGTGCTTTCCGAAGCACGGAGTAATTCGAGATAATATTTTTTTGGTCACCCATCCCGTGACCGACCATTGCGAAAGTTGCTTAACGACAACGATCGCGGGCCGCGGTGCTTATCCATAACGTCACTATAATGTTAAGCTATAATTTACCTTCGACAATCCCGTGTAAGGAAAAGCTTCGAAGCTGAGCTTAAGTTCTTCTCCCAGACGGCCATACTTCTGCCCCAAATAATTTCTTGTTGCAGCCAACGTGGTGATGCTCATTCCGTCACCAATGAATAAGATTATGTTCTTTGCGAGTCCAGTCTTCAGTGGAGCTAACACCTAACGTAAGAAACACATCGATTATTAGTTTACATTATATTCAATGTTTTCATACCGCTGTCGAAAAATAAAAATACATAGAAATCGACCATAAAAAACCCAGTATTTACGGGTTTTCACTATTTATCACTGGAAAATGAAATAAACGCAAAATAAAAAAAAAATCATGTACTAAATTTTAAAATTAATTCCAAAAACATATTCAACGGAATGTTGACAAAAGTAATTTTGTTCGTTAGTGCGCTCCCGCTCTTCCATCTCTTTCCAGTCCCACAAATCCCGTGGACCCCGCGCCCGTAATCCCGCAAAATGGGAATGCAAAAAGATACTATACTGGAAGCCCTTAATGAAGGTTATGATTTCAAATTACAGATTTATGCTCATTAAAACATATATTGAAAAATAAACTTACTAATTAATATAACACGATTCTACGTATTTTGATTTATAACCGTTTTTCAGGAAAACTGTAATTGGCATTACATTGAGGATCTATAAATCTTATATCCTAGTCTAAAATTATACTATAAGATTCCTGAGCCGATTATAAATAAATATTCATATTAATAAAAAGTATCTCAATATTATTCATCAAAATATAGCATTAAAAAGGAATAATAAACAATAAATATTTCCAATTTTTATGCTTGAATGCGAATCAGGATTTTATGTCATTTAATTTTGCTAATAAACATTATGCATTTAGTTAATAAAAAATGCTTAAAAAATCCACTTGCCCACAGGTACTCTGAGATGGGGGGACCTAGGACGGGGGGCCTGAGGGAGTATGCATCGAAGCAGCTTGTGTGGGTCCTCCCAAATGGACGGGTTGGGACTGGAAATGTCTAGTTTCGTATCTCCGTTCCTTGCTGGAGGCAGTTCCGTCGGTGTGCGCGCTGGCATTATACGCCCCTAGGGGGCGCATCCCAAATGTGACGTGCTCCCAACCCGGTGAGGAAAATGGGGTGAACCGCGAGGTGTATGGCCTTTGGGCTGGTCTTGTATACCGCCTTCCATGCGAGAGATATCGCTAAATTTTAGTGGGAATGGGGCCGCAGGAGGAGCCCTCATCGTAAACTGAACGCGCTTACTACGCCCCAGCGAGCTCCTCGAGAGACGAATAATACGTCTTGTCACTTTTCTCGAGTGATCCATACACTATCTCAATCAACTCTACTCTCGGCAACTCACAGAGGTCTCACGAAAAAAATAAGAATCTCGTTGAAACGTTACATACAACTTGTTTTAGCTCAATAGGGATGATGACTAATTTTTGTTTCTTTGTCCGTCAGGTAGAATGTTAAAAAATATTAAACACGTATTTTTTTATTTTTTTCGTAATCATAAAATGGAATTACATGGAGTTGAAATTTCGCATGACGTAACGTTAGTGTACGTTTTCTACTCAACTGTGACGTAGAGCCCCCACTCTCCAACTTTAATGCCTGATATCTAAGCTATTTCTTGTTAAATTGAAGTAAAAAAAAAAACGTATCTAATATTTTTCTATTATCTGACTGACGGACTAAATAGAATAGCATTTTTTTACCCAGTCATCATCCCTATTAGATGTCAAATCGCTCAACTCTTTACTTGGTAGATGAAAGTGAAGTTATAGTAATAAACGTCTAACGATTCAAACAAATGTTGGAAGAGTTCCCATATTTTTACAATTTTACTGTCCCTCGTAATCATTCCTAATCTCCGTAATTCCATCCTCCGTAATTCCATAATCCTCCGTAATTCCAAAACGACATTAAGTGACCCTAATTTCATAATTCAAAGACCAACTTCCATAATTGCCATATTTGAAGTTATGAATTACATTTTCAACAAGATCAACGCGATTTATGTTCTAGTTTTATTTAATAAGAATAAAAAATCTCATTTTTATTTTAATACCTTCGAAAAAACCATTTTAATCATATATTATATCAGCGCCTCATTTAGCTTTGCTATCTATATATACTTATTATAAACGCTTCCCGCTGTCTGTACGCTGAGATGTATTAAAGTACACTGCGATATTTAATTCTGTTTCCATGAATATACAGAGTGATGCAAGAGCATCGGTTTGAATTATGGCAGTACCCATAAATGTGTTTACTTGTTTTTCAATTAAACTGTATGTTTTTTTTGTGTATTTGTTATGCGATTACTCCGATTATGAATCTATTTTCAGTAAAACTTTGTTCGACAGGTTAATATCGCCAAGGTGGTCCCATTTCATTTTATCAAAGTTGAGTCAGTAGTTTTCTTCTTAAACCAAGAAGCTTTTCATTAGATATATGTATCACCTAAACATATTGATGACATGTTCATATTAGCGAAAAACAAAAGATAGCGGGCGTACTTTGCATTCATTCAAAATCCGAAAGGAGGTATTCCTATGTTCAACGGGTATGCATGTATGTATATATTTTATACATAGGAATGTTCACCGATTTCATTTTTATTTTAGTACCTATCTATGTTTCACTAAAAAAAATTGAAAAATAAGTCAAGTCAAAGTCAAAATAATCTTTATTCAAATAGACTTCTTAAAAGTACTTTTGAATCGTCCAACATTTTTTTTCCCTACCACTCGTTCAGGACATCTTTTGGCTGATAAGAAGAACGAGCAAAAAACTCACCAGCTTTAATAAGAGTAATGACATTTACAAAAACCATGTCATTACTATATCAATACATTATAAACAGAGAGAGAGAGAGAAAAAACCTATGGTCTTATAATGATAACATAATCATTTAATAATAATGGAAACAAGATAATGAGTTTAGAAATAATCACCTATTCAGTTGCTGGATCATCTCAAGTCTAAGCGTTCTTATCTGTAATATAATCAGATACCTTATAATAAGCTTTTTTAATAAGTATTTTTTTAATAGTAGATTTAAACTGTACGATATCCTATTGTTGTATTTTGCTTGGGACCTTATTGTAGAAGCGCACACAAAGACCCTTGAATGAGTTATTAACTTTTTGCAGTCTAGTGACAGGCACCGTTAATTTTTTTTTATTTCTTGTATTAAAATTGTGTACATCACTTTTTATAGAAAACAAACTAATATTTTTACGAACGTACATTAAGTTCTCGTACATGTATTCAGAAGCAACAGTCATAATGTCTATTTCCTTAAATTTCTCCCTTAAAGAGTCCCTAATCCTAAGATTATAAATTGATCAAATTGCTCTTTTCTGAAGCACAAAATTGTTTGTATGTCGGCAGCATTTGCCCACAATAGGATTCCGTACGACATTACACTATGAAAGTAACTGAAGTATACTAATCTGGCAGTATCTATATCAGTTAACCTACGTATTTTCATTACGGCATATGCTGCAGAGCTAAGTCTACTCGACAATTTATCAATATGTGGGCCCCACTGTAGTTTAGAATCTAATGTTATTCCTAAAAATACTGTGGTATCCACAAGGCCCAAGTTCTTATCTTTTATATTAACATTTATATCTACTTTTTTAACATTACATTTAGTACAAATTTAAAGCATATTTTTTCCTTTATTAAGGAGAACAATATTTACATTAAACCAATGTACTACGTTAGCGATAGAATTGTTCACATTGTCATTTAGAGGTAACCCTCTTTTAATTTTAAACAAAAGTGAAGTGTTATCGATTGTTATCGATTCATAAGCTTATTCTTGTAAAAGTACGTTTGTATTTGATCCAGCATGATTTTTTCAGAAATCTTACTAAACGTAGGTAGCACGGATATAGATCTAAAGATAGTAGGGTCAGAAGTGTGTGTGTGTGTGTGTATGTTTGAGTGTGCCTTCTGCATATAAACTTATTTATAATTATACATTTGCTTAATATATAAATTTTAGTATAATTACGTACTGGTGTATTTCAAATACCTGCCTTATTTTTGAGAGTCCATTGTGCCTGAATGTGCCAGTGGTCTTTGTTTTTTTCGTCAAACGAAGTTATAGGTAAGGAACCTGGAACATAAAATAGTCAACATTTATATTAAAGAAAAATAAATTTGCACAATAAGCTAATTTCTCGGAATTCTATATACACCGTATAGAAATAAAAATATCCTTATTCTTCTTAAAAAGCTACAAAAAAGCTTCTACTACATAATTACTCTTTTGTCAAAACTAACACGAGTAACTTATGGATAATGTATACATATGAAGCAGTCAACACGCATTTACGATAGTTTTGGGGCTCCCGCAGTCTTACATTGCGTCAGGCGAATTCGCGGAGGCACGCACAGACGGATTTCAAGTGTGTATACGTAAGAAAACATCAGTACCAATATTATCCTACATACGATAGCAGGGAAATGGGATAGCCCCTTTTTTATACAATGTGCTCGGCTATTGTTGAACTAGGAAACTATTGTGTCTATATTCGAATCTATATTAATTATTCAGCGTGTAAAGCTAACATAGATGTTCATACCAACATGATAACGATTTTGGATGATTTTTTTTTATTTTATTCATTTATTTAACAACATCTTATACATCTATACTGTATACAGAAAAAAGTGAATCTTATAAAAATGCAAGGACAATTATAGGTAAACACTGCATGCAATCCAACGGCTTAATCTATCTGCAAAGTATAATTATACAGTATTTCTTTGAATTTCTTCTAAGACAACCAATTTGTGTCAGTTATATTACTTATATTATTGTATAATCGACTCAAAAGTCAAACGGGTGAGTTAAATCCCGATTTAGTACGACGCCTTGGAAGAGAGAACAACTTGACAGGCGAGCGAGGATACCTCAGCGGTATCCGGAGCCTAAACTTACTAAGTAACCCGGAGCAATCGATTTCATTCCTGATTAAGCCATATAAAAAATAAGTCAAGGACATTGCCTCGGATATTTAAGGGTGTTAAATAAAAGACAATGGGTAATAACTAACGTGGCCATATTTTCTTTGGATCAGATGATCG